GCATCAGCTGGCACTCATCTCCCCCAGAACAGTGCCTGTTATCAATGACTTTCTAAGCAGACAGCTATTACAAGAAGGTGTAGAATTTGGTAATAGGCAGCAGGTGCTGCCACCATCCCACCTTCCCTCCCTGCTCTTCATGAACACATTAGACTCAGACAGGTTAATATGACTCTATTTGGTTTACCCATGAGCACCAACATGCCACTAATGACATGATTCATTTTGTTTTACAATGGTTACCTGGAAAATTGTTGATACAAACTGGTATGAACTGCTTTGTGTGGCTGAGATCCAGGCTGTAGTCTTCAGTTCTACTGATTCTGCCCAGGTCCTACTTCAGTCCATTCTTCTCCTCATCCAGTTATCTTGCAATATGAGCTGGTTTATGTTTGGTCCTTCCAGCAGTACACCATGTTTCATGGTGATGGCATGCATCAGAAACAACAAATGCACTGTTTATGGAATATTTTTGGGCCACCAGTCTGCTGCAGACAACAGGCTCTTTTACAGGGAAGGCCAAATGGCCTTTTTTATAACTATTCTGGTGTCCCTGAAGGCACCCAACTGATCTGACAATTGAGCATCCAAGTCAAAAGCCAGGATTTCCTGTGGAAAGGAGGAAGAAACCTAAGGAAGAAACTTACTTATTGGGTAGAATGAGATCTTCACCACTGTCATTCGCCCAATTATTTCTGCAAGTGGCTGCATGGTATTTGCTTCATGTGCTCACCCAGGATGAATTCATGATCAGTGGCTCTCTCTCAAACAGGGCAAGGAGAGGTGATGTGGTTAGTACTTAAGAGGCGTGGCAGGATTCTGCAAATCTTGGCATCATCATTACAAGCTGTAGGGAGCATGTGTGTGTGTGAACAACTCCTGTGGTGTTTACTGCTGATGGGAGCAGGACTATCCTGCAGAATGAGCAATTGCCTATTTCTGTCCATGAGAAAGGTGGACCAGTAAGGCATTAAGGAAATCTTACAGGCTGCATGAGATGGACAGTTTGGCTGATATCACTGGCGCACATCAGAGTACCAGGTGAAAGGACTCACACTAGCTAAGTTGCTGGGGACCCTGATGGGATATGAAGAGGGAGGCACACATGGGAGTCATGCTATCACCCCGAACTGATTGCACGATGCAAATACCTGATGGCTCCCACTACATTATCTGCACTCTGGGCCTTCCTGGGCTCAGAGACCACATGCAGAGCATGGGCACCTGCTTTGTACAACTCTGAGCCAAGGCACCTTGCGCCTCTCTTCCTCTCTCTCCCCTGACCACTAATACTTGATTAATGCTCCTACATAGGCCTGAACCTTATAGAATCTGAACAACTGAGAGCTGTCTCTCTCTCTTTCTCTGTTGGCAGGGAAAGGAAGACTCTTGTCAGCATTAACTATATTTGCATATGTGAATAAATGAGGGAAAGGCAGGGATTTTTTGTGGATGATATCTGTTATTGGAATGACTGCATGGTTGGGAGGGACTTAAGACAATGAGGGAAAGCAGCACCCAAATACCATGCTTCCACATGCAAACACAGTTAAAGCTCACAAAGGCATACCTGCCTGCCCAGACATTCAGCTGTGAGCTATAGAATTGCACCTATACTATCTGGCTCATTATAAGCCCTTGGGGAAGATTGGGCCCTTAACTACTAGAGAGAAAATGAAAAATTAATGTGTGTATATAATCAAAATATATTTTTAAGTTTCTTGTATTTCTGAGACAGTTAGACATGACCTAAATCTGGATAAAAGGGGAGTCATTTGCCTCTATTACTTTAAGGAAGAACATAATTTTTGCTCTGTAGCCCTAGACTAGTTGTGTTGCAGTCAATAGGAGTTCTGTCATGGATGTGAGGGGAGCTAGAATTTCTCTTCAAGTGTTCAAAGCTGGATATGTTTAGCTTGTGCTTTTTTTTAGTATGTAAGGGATGGAGGGAATTTTGAGAAAGCATATAATATTATATGTAAACTGACAGCCCCTGAAAAATAGCTGCCCTGTCTCCTTAATATGAGAGACCATGTAGAGAGTAACATTTGGAGGGCAGGAGGAATCCTGCATTAGACAGACAACATTCCCGCACAGGACAAAAAGCAATCAGTCTCTAGCTTAATCAAACTCAGGCTTCTTTTTGAGAACAACATAGTGTTGGTTGCATTAGCATCTAGAACACTGTTTGCTGAAATATGGAATGTAACCATATAACGCAAGATTGGAGGTCAGAAGTCAGCTATGCTGATTTACACTAGCTGAGGATCTAACCACAGATATGCAGGAGCAGAGACCTAAACTTTGCTTTATCAGGCTTGGCTCATTATTTTTCCTTGTGGAACAGCGCTCTTGGCTGGAAAGTTTTCTCCACCCCCTCCCCATCGATTAGGCTTAAGCACACACATTCTGCATATGATGAAGCTTTGCTTTGCAAACTATCAGGTGACTTTTAACAAAGGGGAAAAAAACACTTTAACTTAAAAAAAACCAAGTTTTTCTTTTTAATATTTATACAGTGTATTTACTTTGATACACAACCATGACTCTCTCAACCCTCCTCAGTATTTGTCAAGTTCATCTACTGGCGTGAACAATCATATAACACCATTCAGATCTCCTTCCCAGCCCTCAATATACACTTTCTAAAGCTAACATCTGACATTAAGGAATGTGTTGCAATCAATTCTTAAAGTTACAGGACTATTGGATTTTATTAACTTGCACAACAACAAAAAACCCCCCAACAAAGCCCGGGTCCTCATAACTGATCAGACTTGTTTTACCCTCAAAGCTGCTTTAACAAGCAGGGAGTAATATATAGTAATTGGTATTCCACAATTTAATTGTTCTGTTCTTAAATCTAATATTGCAGCTGTGGGTTAAGTTTACACCACAGCTTTCATGAACATGAAAGTGTGGTACATCTGTGCAGCAGAAAGCTAAACATCTCTTGATCTGATGTGTTTACAATGACATTTGATATTGTGGAAGGGTTTGGAATTCATTCTTAAAGCTGCAGAACAATTTTTAATTGATCTCATACAGAACTACGGTCTGCAAAAAAACTCCCCAGAACTGCTCAGGCTGAACAAGTTCCCAACTGTGTAACAAGTAAAACTGCGGAGGATTTTAGTTTCCTAAGAATCTGGCACATTCATTTGTGGCAACAGAAATGGGACCATGATCATGTCTCCTCCCTCTGACTATGGACCATATTGTCAACTCTTTTAATCAGTCATTTTATACATAAACTACATTTTTACAATTAAATTAAATAAAAAGCCTTTCTAAACATACCACAGTAGCATAAAGAGAGAACACAACATTTTCATAAGAGACACTTAACTGAGGGGATTTAATATGTTTAGAAACCAGAAGCTTTTCAAATTAACAGGTGGCAAAGCTGCTTAGGGTGCACCCTGAGCTTCATATTCTGTATGGCTAACAGTTTCAGCATTATGTACTTTCTAGAGCATTTATGAAGCTCATAACTAGTTCAAGAAACTCGGGAATGGGCTTATAAATCTCATCTGCAGTTTGTGAACTTCAAGTATCTGTGTGGTTTGATCAATGTTTTTAAGATGAAAGTTAAATAGTTATTACAATTATTTACCACTTGAACATAAAAAGGGAACATGTCTGCTGAGTGACTTTAGTTGCCATAAGACATGGAAGGCTGCAGGTCGAATGCTTTAGCAGAAAAGTTTTCACTTTCAATGAAAAGATTTAACTCATGTACCATAGAGCCAGTTTTTCTTTCCTCACGATCAAAAGCATCAAGGGGCAAGAAGAAGAAGGGGGAAAAAAATCAGCATATTTCCCCTCCACAGTTTTCTGTCAGAAAAAATTGACGTGTAAAAAGGAACATTTTCTTTTGTTGTAGTTTAGCCGTTTTCAAGTGCTTGTCACTTATTGAGAACCCCTATTAGAAAGACTGTTGTCCCTATCTGTTGTATTCCTTTGTAGCTGTCTGCAATTCTGCTTCAGGTACATACCTCTCAAGAGGTGAGAGCTGATTTCACTGATGAAATTCACGTAAACTAACAAACTATGTTGAAATCCAGTCGTTTAAAAAATGTATTATCTCAACCTTAATTAAGAACTACCCAAAGCCAACTTCACACAAAAGCTGCCTAATAGCAACTTGACCAATAGATTCAGTCTCCTTGCAACACAAATACCTTAATAAGTATTTAGTCCAGGGGATAAACCTGTAGCAATATCCCAGTCTCTTGAACACAGAAATTTGATACAGCAAAATGCAACAGCAGCGCTTCCCCTTGTTTCAGATCACCGAGAAACAAAAACTGTCCTTGGAAGGGAAGAAGTTAATATCTTAGGTTCTTTCTTTTCCCCTGTTTGTAACATCCTAATATTTTCTTCCTGGGCTGAGAGGCTTAATCTTCAAGTTCAAAGCTTGTTTCGTCGTATAGTTCAGGACGAGATGACTTGGAATTCCGGGAATATTTCAATTGTAGAAAATCGCCCAATTCATCAAGGGCATTCAGGACCTGCAATACCATCACACTATATCAGTTATCTTAAAAGGATTTAAAGCTGTTCTCACTTTTGCTTTCCAGCTGAACACGTGTAAAAAAAATCAGTGTTTTTTAGCCTTTCAAATCAGAGAAGAAAAAGAAATATTGCACAAAGGCCGAGTTTTGCTCCAAGCTGGACTAGTGAAAATCAGTGAAGTCAATTGAGATGCGCTGAATGCTGCACTAGTGTCCTTGAAAACTGAAGTTGATTCAATTAAGTTATGGTTGTATTAGCCAGTAACAATACTTGACTCTTGTTAAAATGGTATGCTTTTCTCTGAGGGAAAAATATTTCAAATACAAATTCCCTTTGCATTGAAACAGTCACAAATGAAACATAAGGTAGCATTGCTGCATTTACAGATATACCCAGTAGCATCACTGGGAGTCAGCGAGCAGGGCATCAGCCCTGGGTACTGACTTATAGGAATGCAAGCATGGCGGATGCTGCTGCTGCCAGCCCAGCTGCCACTGCTACCGTGGTTGCTACCACTGTCCATGGTGCAAAACTTCCTAGTTATGCCTCTGACTATATTCCAAAGACTGGCTTCACCATTGCATTCTCTTACTGAAGAATCAGGCCCAGAATCCTGAATAGAGTTGTTGTGAATATTTTGAATAGGCCTAGTTGGTTTTAAAGTGCATTATCCCCTTTTCCTTGTATTATCATCACAGCTGGCCTGATCCTAAACTGAGGGTTTCCAAGTATTCACACCTCCACTGAATTTAATAGGAAGCAAGGGCAGTCAACAGCTGACAGAAGCAGTTCAATATCTTACGCTTTTTACTCTGCTATCAAATGAAGATAGAGAAACTGAGATTTCAGTCTGAGTTTGGTTCACTCAGTGCAATAATCTCAAGAGCCAAAAACGTTAGTTTTTTTGGTGGTGTTAAAAAAAAGTGAAATTCCCAAAATAAAAAAGGACCTTTGATGTAGTTAAAAATATTTATCATCCTTGGAAACCATCCCATACTGGGATCATCCCTCTTATACATTCCAGCCCATGGCTGAACCCATTTTTTGCACCAGTCAGACATTTTCATTGCACCAGAGCTGTCTGTTTTTATGGTATGCCAGATTTACAGCAGTCATGCAACGGTTATCCTTACGAACTTTCCAGCTGCCTGATGTAACTAAATGAAACTCCCCCAGGTATTTCCTATTCTTCATATTAGGTGCAGGGAAGCTTGATTATGCCTCCAGTGTTAATAATACTGTAATATGAATGTAATGTGTGTAACAGCAGGAGGAACCAGGGGGCAGTCTGCAAATTTGTGATGTCTATTAATTTGACCTATTATGTCTATTTAGGTAATGTCTATTAACCTTCCAGAAACCCCCAGGAAAAAAAAGAAAGAGGAAGCTGGAGGCTGGAGTAAGGGGAAGAGAGAGCATCCCACAAGTGGAACCTGGTCAGCCCTACACAGAAGAGTGCACAGTGGAGCTGGAGATCTCACGGGCTCCGTCAGCCAGGACTGTAGACTGAAGGAGCTGGATTTAGAGTTGGGGGCAGCTGCAGGCTGCTGTCTGAGTGCTCTAGGGACTAAAGGCTTGTTTGAGGACACCTCTGGAGGTGCTAGGGGAAAATTAAGCTGTTGAGTGGATGTTACCACAGTATTGATGTTTCTTTACCTTTTACCTGTTCCCTCCCTTTGGCCTGTTGGCTTGTGACCTGAACCCCAATGATTTTCTATATAAAAGTGGGAACTCCCCCTCGCTTCTTGTGTCAGTTTCTGGGGCTGCAGGGTTGGTACAATATGTAGAGGCAAAAGCAAAATTGGGACATATTCAAGGGGGCTAGTATAGAGCGTTAAGGCCCTAGTCCTCCAATCACGGTGTATAGATATGTCTCTGGGCACATATGACATGAATTGCAAGAAAAAATCTTGAAAAGCATAACGGACTTATTGGTTTTAGAGAGCAAATGCAAAATAAAGAAATAATGGCTCTGACTTCCATAATTGATTTCAATCCTTATTACTAGATCAAAAGCTTACACAGTCTTGGGAGTAAACAGGGAAATAAGGTTCCTGCCTAACACTACCTATGTAGCCAAGCACTATTACATTTTTGTGTTGCTGTTCCTTTTTATTTCTGTGCTATTGATCTCAGGGTTCCCTCTTACATCTTTGTAAGCATTTCATACTGCACAGATCAAAATGGTGTTCTAAGTTTTTGTTTTACAATGTGCTTCACTGACAGGTAGGCTAGTTTTTTATGTATGGCTTGAGGTCTCAGTCTTGCAACTGTGACTGGATCCATGTCCTCAGAGTAGAGTTTGCTGAGATCTGGTGTGAAATCATGGGTCTGTGTGCACTTAGCATTGGAGCCTGTCTTACTGGAAAATTCTGAATGTAAAAAACTCATCTGTATTTGAACAGTTATCCAAGAAGAGCCTTAAAATCTATTGGCAACCAAAAGAGTTCCCCATTTCCAACCCTGAAAAAAGGACAAGCTTATGATATCCCAAATTTCTCTCTCTCCAAAAAAAATCACCTTTGGATAAAGATAGAACATTTATATTTCTTTTTCTAAAAAATTATGGACATATGGAATGGAGGTCTATAATGGAAGTGTCAGCTAACCTCAGCTCTGTTTCTGGTACCAGGCTGAATATGGGCATATGGCTCCTTTTAACCCAATTGGTACGTACAAATAACTCCCAATATTTGTTTGAAATTTCCACATGTATCTTAAAACCCCCAAGGCCATGTTATATTTTTCTGCTGGAATTTAACTAACACATGGAAATATGGAATGAAAATAAGGGTATGGAAAACCTTATTTGCAATTATTTCCACATCATTTAGGGTTTCCTGCTTGGGTAGTTTTGCCCTAGTAGTTAACTTTGGTCTTGCTGTGCTCCTCAGGTGGATCTTTATTAGTTATGACAGGTTTGGTCACTATTAGAAATAGTGGAACACAGTGCAGTTAACTGTGTGATAATTTAATTTTTTTAAATAAAACATGTATTATTATAATGGCTGAAACATCTTTAAAGATCAAGTGACAAAGATCAAGGAAAACAAATGCAAAATGAATTATTGAGGTTCAAAGTAACAGACTTGTAGCTTCTCCCCGCAAGCATCTGAAGTTAATTTCATAAGGACATCTGCTGTGCTTACCGTGTCTAACATCTCCCGTGTATGTGCAGCTGACACACAGAACCGAGCCCTGGATTCAGTGATAGGAGTAGCTGGAAAGCCAACGACAACTACCCCAATATTTTTTTCTAGCATGCGCCTTGCAAAAGCCCTTGGGTGGGGTAGGGAAGGGAAAAAGAAGAAAGCAAAAGGAAATTATCTCCAATAAATTGACCACAAAGAGAAAACAGTCAAGTGTAATAAAACAATAGGTGAAATCCTGTCTCCTCCTGAAACAGTTGGTAAAATTCCTTTTGATTTCAATAGTGCCAGAATATCATCCAATAGGACTGAGTCTTTGCAATGTTGCAGTTGAAAAGTCATTTACTTTCTTGGCAAAACGAGCAGAAAAATGCTATGGCTGGCATAAGTGAGCAGAGAATTCTGATACAATTGTATTTTACAATCACTTTGCACAGATGTAAGTGCTGATGGAGGTCTTAAAGTAGCAAGACACAGCCCTTATATCAGTTGGTGCTAAATAAAAACACCATTTAAATAAAATTTAAAGCCCTGTTTTTTGGATAAGGCACTGAATATAAAGTCGAAGGAAAATACTGCGGTTGAGAAGGTCTACACTGGGATTTGGGAGGCCAGGATTTGGCCCTAGCTCCAAAACAGGCTTTTCACATGGGCAAATCACTTGACACACACAGATTCATCTCTTTAACTGTAAATCAGGGCTCATACCTACCTGCTAGATGTCCTGAGGATAAAATTATTCATGGGAGGTAGGTAATACAGAGGTATCTGCATAAATGAATCATCCTTAACTGGGACTAGTGCTCCCCAAACAAATCCTTCTCACACTTTGTGTAAAACGATACAGGGAGACCATGGAAACTGAATAAACTGGTACATAAGAGAAATGGGTGTGAACCCACAGAACACCTCTGGAGGGATTGTGACAAACCAGATTAAGGAGGAAGGTCCAAAGGTGAGGCACAAGCACTGACAAGTCCTTGAACTCTGACCAGTTCACACAGAACTTTAGGACAGTGAATGAAGACATCTTTGCTGATCTTGAAATGATCAGGGATAAAAAGAACGGTTCTCTAAGACTTCTATTTAACATTAAGTCTGTGTGTATGCCTTTTTCTGACTATTAAATTAATGTTTTATTTCAGGTATCCATCACTGACCCTGAATAAAGCCTGAAACCTAAGGAACCTTATTAATCACAAATGAAGTTTTAATTTAAAATATTTTATTACTGTTCTACTCTCCATTATATGTAAATAAATCTTAAATTAGGCTTCTTAACAATATTTACTGTCCATGCTTTGTGGGTTTAACAATTTTACAGGGTGACTAGCACCAGCTGAAGCAACTACTCAACCTGAAGTGACTTTAATTGCATGAAGTTGTCTACTTTTGTCTTTCTTTTCTTTTCTTAATTAATTTGTTGTCAAAGATATTCATCACATACATGTAATTCTAATTCCATCAACATGTTCTTGAAAGACAAATGAATGCTAAGTAAAGACATGAACACTGTTAACAGATTATTGGACTTTACTAAAGTTAATTAGGAGCTAGAGAGTTCATACTAGAACACTGGCATAAAATAAAAGGTCATCATTAAGAAGTTGTAACACAACTTGATTAATTTCAAAAGCCCCAAGAGAGAAAAAAATGGCTCTGGAAATAAAGATGCCACCTATTCTTCCCAAGCAACCATTCCAGCTACTTGTGTTGGGGCTCTGTTATGATTTTGTGTAGCTCACTTCTGTAAGGTCTTCTTTTCTTGCCTATCAGAAAGTCCTTCCAAGAGGTTTTAATAATTAAACTATAGATCAGGCCCTGAACACGTGGCTCACAGCCACCATATTACATGTGAGACCCTTCAGTGTTGCTCATGGTCTTTGGAAATGAAAAAGAGGTTGACAGGGGCAGCAAAATATAATGTTGCCTGCAACATGGCATTTACTTAATATTGTTGCCCATGGGCCATCAAAGTTTGGGGACCATTGTTAAAAACCCAAAGGATCCTAGTCGATTTGGGAAAGGTATCATAAATCCTGTTGATTAGTTAATAGGTTACTGCTCGCTAAGCAATGTTTATGTCTAATCAATAGATGGTTTTGTCTGATACATATAAATAATGCAATGTAGATCAGTGTAACAACATTATCAGTATAAAGACATGTATTAGATGGAGAACAATAAAATATATTTTAAAATTAGGCAATGTGCACCTTTAGTTATAAATGTTAAAAATGTTACTGGCAGGACCTGAGGAATAGTACCATGGTACCAGAAATCATGTCTAAGTCTATTCCAACCAACATCACTCCAGCTATACCAAAAATGTTATTGTGAGACATCAACAAGGAAGAGAAAGATGAGTCATATCAAGCAACTTTTGAAAAATGGGCAGTGCATATGTCAGGGACATTTCGTTTTTAAATTCCCATACACAAAATACCCTGATTTTTTGTACAGGAAAGCTAGCCCAGAATGAAGCCCATGCTTAAATAGTACTGGCAAGCTGATCTAAAGGAACACATTTTTCTTCTGCAGCATTATCCACAAGTAGTCAGCTTCTTATAGTTTAAACCAAAACCTAACTGTGAATGAATTTGTTTTCTTGGTAGGCATATTTCAGTACTTACGCTATTTTACCAGGAATATAAAGGAGCAAAGGAACAACAGGGGAATCATCATTGCCATAAATTATGAAACCCATTTCATGCAGTCTCTGCCTGAAGTATCTTGTGTTTTTTCTTAGCTGCTGCACTCTCTGTAGCCCTGAAATGAGACAGTCAAGAACTAAGTCAGTGCCAAGATCACAATGGGGTTCCCTTTCAGAAAAGAGACACAAAACAGGGATGACAGGTCAGTTTCAGAAAAAGCTCAGAAATCCATGAGCTCTTTCTGCTGCTATCTGGTCTATGGCTAAGACATATTTAACAAGCCATCTCTACAAGCTAAATAAATAGTCATGCTAATTGAACCTATGTAACAGTATAGCATTTTTACCAACCACTATGCAGTTATTCCTGACCTGATATTAGTATTAAGCCTGCCATAGTTAGATATATAATACTCTTCCCTATTGGAGTGCTTCTTTCTCTTTCAACACAGACTGACGAATAGTGGCCTTTATAATGCATTTTCTTAAGAAAGATCAATAGCATGCTGGGTGAAACATTGATGGCAGTGGTGGTATATTATGACAGTGTATAAATGTGGTCACAGACTATTATTTGTGTTTTTTAACTAAAAATAACTTGCTCTATTCTTGTGATGCCCTGATGGATAATAATAAGCACCATACCTGGGGGAAAAGAAATCTCATGTTGGGGTGAGCCAAGCCCAAACTTTCTTCGAATTTTCAGCAAATAAGAAAAAAAAATTCAGACCAGAGAGGGTATACATGAAACACTGTAATAAGTTAAATGTATAAATACATTTAGAAATAATAGTTTCATGTATTTAACCTCAGATGCTGTTGCCTTTTAAAACTGATGTGTTCCTCCTTATGGATTTGGTGTTGGCAGAACGAAGTTTAATGTATTTTTCAATAAACTGTCCTTTTTAATAGTTTAACTGTCCTTCTAAATAGACCAGTCGTGTACACGCTACTGATAATGCATATGCAGTTACAATACAGATGTATACAAGATCTTTCAGTTCCACCCAATCCCTAGAAAAGTGATGGAAGGCATAGGATTAGGCATAGCCAACATTATTGATGACAGTTTGGAAAGGAGTCCCTCCACCTGATGATCGGTTTACGCCCTGCAGCAAGAGGATTGATAGACCTTGTAATTTTTTTTATCCTAGCTAATCTAACAGATGCTCTTCTACTTCATTGTCTACGCCTTAGACTCTTCCCAAGACACTATATTTGTCCCAGTCATGTCCTAAGGCATTGCTAGGGATGGATCACTTACAGACTGAATTGGAAAGTGTTTCCTAATATCTATCTAAATTGTTTGCTTTTCAACTAAGAGGGTGCATATTCACAAGCACTTTACTGCAGAGTAGATTAATTAGCTCCGGAGTAAAGCATCATAGTCTACATGTGCACTGGTATTAGGCGCAGTAAATTAATTAACTCCGCTATAACTCCATCCTAACAGTACTATATTACGGCAAGGTAATTAAGTGTGCTGAAATGCATGTGTAGATGGTGAGAGGGGCTGGCTGAGGCATGAGGGTGCTAAAGTGTGGCGGGGCTGCCTGCCACGTAGCCACACAGCTCCGCACTTACAGCACTCTTGTGCCCCAACCAGCCCCTTCGCTACCTGACACTGCTACCCAGAGTCCAGGGCTGACCCTGCCCTCAGCCCAGGACTGCTCTGCCCTAGCTCAATTACTGCTGTTCCAGATGCACATGTAGACACTGAGCCCAGCAGTTTCCTCTAACTTAAAAAGCTCCAGAGTTTATTGTCTCGCATTAACTGCATGTGTAGATGCAACCAGCATGTCTTTTTATATGATGAGAAAATGTGAAAACAAAGAATTTAAACTTGCCTTTCCTACACTGGTCAGTTCATTATTTTATAGAGCACCATATTGTCTCATATTATCCTTTCCAAGCAAAATTATTCCTGTCTTTTAGCTCTTTCCTTAGTTGTTGGCCCCTTTTCATACACTCATCTTTTTTACTGCTCCTCCCCTTCTGATGTTTTCCAGGACAGGGGACCAAACTTAACAGTAGCTGCCGGGATGGCATAATGCTGCACACCTAAATGTACCCCTGACAGAACTATCCACAGGCTTTATTCCTTCAATACAGTCTTCTTTGCTCAACAAAGAACATTGGCTGGTTTTCTGTGATGATACCTATGTTTTCTGGAAAGATAACTACCAGTATGTGTTAGCAGTTTTCCTTCTGTTCTGCTTAGCACTGATCTGCACTGATTCTCACCTACCATGATATGGTCCTTCTGAAGTTTCTAACAGACCTCCCTATTTTCTACTGTCAAGTTCCCAACCCTGAAGCATTCCTTTATTAAAAGCCCATTATCACAGGTATGCAAGGGTTAGAGAGGGCTGCGGTCTTGAGGAGTGTGGGAAATGCTTCCTATGTATGATCCTGGAGGCAAAATCTACCCTTACAGAGGACAGGGAAAAACAGGGAGGAGACTGGGTCACGGGCCCAGCATGGAAAAGAAGGATGAACCATCATCTGAATGGCACAACTGTGTATACTGATGCACAGCTCCTTCAGATGCCCTCTATAGGGCAATTTATCTTCATATTGGCCAGTGGTTAAATGCACAATCCTTCTTCCATTGTAAAAATGGTATGTTTTACTTCCTTCTTAACAGTTTGTTGTGCCAGATGGGGCTTCTTTCTTCTCACAGCCTGTATTTTCCCAGCAGCTCTGCATAACAGATTTTCAGTGCTGGGACATATGAACAAGTTAAACCTACCAGTTCCTTTACTGCTTATGCTGTGGATGCTTTCAGAGAATTCAGGGAGGCGAGTGTCACAGTTAGAATCATAGAATCATAGTTTCTCATTACTAAAGACAAGCTACTTTGTCTCTATCAGTGTATGTTCCTCTAGCATCTATATGACTCAGAGGGTCCATCTACATGTACAATTAATGCATAGAAAGCTTACTGCACAGTAAAATACTGCACAGTAAGCTTTCCAAGAGACCACATCTACACTTGAACCGGTCAGGAGCAAATTTCCTTCTGACAGGAGAAGTTCAGAGGAGGGATCCTGCCTTGATCTCCTGCCATATGGCAGCCAGAGGGAACTCTAGGCTATCCTGGGTGCCAGCTCCAGGCTGGCAGGGGACATCAGGGTCAGGCCTGGGATCCAGTTGGCAGCCCCCTGCCCTGGGCAGCTGGCAGTGAGCAGGGTGGGACAACTTGTGGCTAGCCCCTGGCTAGGTGGGAATTCCTCGCTCAGCTGGGGACTCACTGCCAGCTGCCCCATAGTTGGAACAGCTCCTGGCCAGCCCCTGGCCAAGTGGGGAAGCAAGAGCTCCCCTGTCCTGGAGCTACTAAGCTCCCCACTCCTATGGGGAGCCAGGATGCCTGCAGCGCTGAGACAGGGGAGTGCGGGTAGAGAGGGACCCGGTCCCAATGCTGATTGGCTCCCCGCTCCTGGGGGAGCTGGGAGCTGAGCAGTGCCAGGACCAGGCCCCCTGCTGGTGTGGCTGACTGGGAGCAAATTTGCTCCCAGTCAGTGTCTACATGAGCCCTACTGCACAGTAGACTAATTTACTACATAGTAGCTGCTGTGTATGGTTACGTGGTGATGCTTTATTATGCAGTAGATTAGTCTACTGTGCAGTAAAGCATCTCGCATAGATGGTCTCAGCGTGAAGTCAGGTGACATTAGTTCAGAATTGCAGGATTCATCTTGACTATTTTTATTAAAAACTGACACTGTGATTGGCTCTTTGGTATACCTAGTTATTCTACTCTACGTGAGCCCTGACCAGTCCCAGAAGGCTGATGTGTATAATTTTTCCCGGGACATTAATTACAGTTTAAATAGCATTTCTCATGTTTTGATAACTTCATTTTGATAACTGTCCGGTAGAACTTCTTCTTCGTTACTTAAAACAAGTAGATAATCTTTCCCCAATTCTTTCAAGGTGGCACGGTGAAGACTGATGCAAACACCACCATTTTCCCTTTTGTATCTAGGTAACTCTGACTATTGACTTTTGTGTATTTGCGCATATTTGTGTTTGTATCTTTCATTATGTAGTCTTTGAGCTCCCTCATAGTCCAAATGCTAAACCCCCATGTACTAATGCTAATTGGGCTGAATTTCAGTTATTAAAAGAATTTTCTATTTGCCTCAAGGAACCTGAGGATGAATTGTGGTAGCCTTCTTCACCGGGAGGTGAAATTCACCAGGTCCAGAGGGACTGTACAAAGCGTACATTCCATTCACATCCCATTTACTCATGCATCTAACCCCATTGACTTCACTGGGACTAAATGTGTTAGCAAACGCTCACCAACCTAAGCATAAAACTTCCACAACTGGGTCCCTGTCATTCAAGCAGTATTGACTGCTTCCCCCCTGCCCCAACTCTTTTTTTTTTTAATTCTGAGGAATGCAGACTTTGTGGCTCTAATCAGGTAATTCTTTAGCAGTCTCTGTTCAGATAGAATAGGATTTTCATTGCCTAACTTTCCACCTACAGGCTGTTTCTAACTTCCACTTTTTTAATCCTCTTATACTGGAAAGGTAACATCACAGTAGCTTTATCTCCTGGCATAATCCCCAGCTGAAGGGATGGAAGGATATTTTTATGGTGAGTGGGCCAAATATAGAATTGAGAGGAAGGGTTGCAGGGGGAGGATAGTGTAGAAAGTTAAGGGTGACATGGAAAATAATAATAGTTTGTGCCCTTTTTGCTTTTATTGTGCATACAAAAGTCCTAAAACATTTTCCTCCACGATACTCTTCTTTACCTTTCACTTAAATCTCAGATTTTTTTTCTTAAATCTCAGAAATATCAGGCCTAATCTTCCCTGGTTAAACTGGGATATTCACTTGGAAGCTGGAGAACATTGGCAATAAGGCATGATTGGCTTTGATGCTGGATCTCACTACTGCACCTCCTGTCGTGCATACATCACGACAGGAAGCACAATTGTGTGAATCACACATCAGATCCTGTCATGCCTTTACCTGAATGTCTAGAGGGGCCCAAATATATTGTAATACATCATTACTCTGCCCCATCCAGAATTCTTATTCTGATAGTCTGCACACTGGTTTATTTTTTTTTCATTACTTTTCTTCTGCAAGGTAACTGA